CAGCAGCAGCTTATTTCTCTTGGCCGATATCTTCTTTAATCTTTTCTTTCCCCTGCTCTTTTTCTTCATCAACACCCTCTTTTGGCTCAGGCTCAGCAGTAGTTCTTTCTCTGTTTCGATTTCTTCTTTTGTCTTTTCAATCTCCTTCTCTTTTTCTTTATCAGTACCCTCTGTTGGTTTGGGTACATCAACAGCAGCTTCTGTCTTGTTCTTTGTATCTTCTTTGGCTTTTGTCATTGGTTGGTATTCAAAATCTGGCTTATGTGCTCATTTTCTTAACTTTTGTTTGATTCTCTTGACCATTAATCTTTGTTGGGACTTCTAGTTTTTTTGGCGGACATTTCTTTTAACTGGTCTTCCTTTCTACACAATTCAGCCATGAATTTTTGTTCCATTTCCTGCATTTGTGCTCTCATGGATACTATAAGTTTGTCCTTGTTGTCCTCTTTGGTTGACGTTTGTGCTTGGTCATCACCTATAAAAATGTTGGATTTTGTTTTAGTTAGTTTAATTAAATTTTGCAGTTTGGTTCAGTATTAGACAAGAGTTTACCATGTGCATGAAATGTGTCAAATTTCTCTTGCAGTTCTTCTTGTTGTTCTGTCCTTTTTTCTTCTTGTTGGTTTGCTAGTTCTTTTTCTTCATGTTGTTATTCTTGTTGGTATGCCAGTTCTTGTTCATTGACTTCTTGTTGTTGGTTTGTTTGTTCTTCTTCTTCTTCTTCTTCTTCTTCTTCTTCTTCTTCTTCATCATTGTCTTGTTATTCATCACATTCTTATTTTTCTTCTTCTTCTTCATCAGTCTCTTATTTTTTTTTTCTCCATCACTCTCTTCTTCTTGTTCATCACTTTCTGTTTCTTCTTGTGGTTCTTGCTTTCTTTTCTTTCTTTTTGTTGTTGTTCTTGTTCTGATTCTGATTGGTGTTCTTCTTCTAGAAAGTCATCCTCATCACTGTCTAGAAGTTTTTTTTTTTTTTTTTGCTTTTGTTTGTTTTTTTTGCTTATTGTCCTTTCTATGGTCATGTTTCTTTGCTGAAGAGTCTTTTAATGTGCTTTCATTGGTATGCAATAACTGTATTTCTTGTTCAGTTGGGGTTAAAGCACTTTGGTCAACCTACATTGGAACAATGTGGCATATATTAGTAATACTGTAAAATTGGTCAATTTCATAATAAGATTTGTGTTGTGAGTAATGTGAGTTAAGTGTTGAAATTATATTGTTTAAAACTCCAAACTTATACAGTTTCATAACATAATGTTAGTGTGATCAATGTTAGTGTTAAATAGATTTTTTCTTTGAAACTGCAAAATTTTACAGTTTCATAACATTATTGTTACTGTAATTACTGTGGAACGAGTGTTGTATAGATTTGTGCTTTGAAACTGCAAAAATTACAGTTTCATAACATGATTGTTAGTGTAATGAATGTGAAAGGATTGTTGAATAGATTTGTGCGTTGAAACTGCAAACTTTTGCAGTTTCATAACATGAGTGATAGGAGTGTTAAATAGGTGTGTGCTTTGAAATTACAAACTTTTACAGTTTGATAACATGATTGTTACTATAATGACTGTGAAAGGAGTATTGAAAAGATTTGTGCCATGAGAGTATAGAAAAGTTTGAATACCTTTTCAAAGTCAGCAAGGCTGATGTATTTCCATTTGGACTACACTTTGCCAAAGTTCCACTTCATAAACCTTCTTTGTTGGATGGTCGGAGGAGTTTACTGTAAAAAAATTGAAATATCTTAGATAGTTTGAAATAGTTGGATGTTTGCTATTTTTGTGTGAAGTAGTTGAGTAGTGTGTTTACCAAGAGTAACATGACACATCCAGTGACATGCCTTGGGTTGTTGTTTATAGTTGCCATTGAATTCATCAGTATGTCTTTTATTGCCTCAACCCAATTGTACTTCTTAATATTGTTGAGATTGTCAGCATAGTTGAGGAAACTCCAACTGAGTGTATGGCCTGTTGTAAGCATGAGAAGTTTCAGGCACAAGTAAAGGGTGATGACCATTGTAAGATTTTAACGATCATTGATTGATTTTCCTTTTTTTGTTTCTTGAAACATTTTGTTCAATAACTTGGCATCCAGTTTATTGGACTGACTAATTCGTAGTACCAATCTCATCATTCACTTACAGAAATCTCAATTAAAGCCAAGAAAGCAAAGTCTTATATAAACTGATTCCAAAAAAATATTTATACCTAACAAATTTCGAACTTAAAATCGTAAAAGGAGCACACTCCACGCGATAAGTCTTTACCACCAGCGAAGCCTCTGGATTTTGAAGGACTCTTCTTTGTGCCTGCTCCAGAGATGACTTGGTCTTAGAGATGAACATTGAGAGAAGACTAGCATTTCCATTCAAGTCTTGCACTCATTTAATTATTGCTAGTTGACTCTCATCATCACATTATCCCTTATAGCACGCCTAAAATTAATTTTACTCTATAATATTTATCAGAAATTTGTCTCATATTATTACTCATTTAAATTTGATTCATATATTTTAATTTTTTTTTATTTATTTTCAATTAATTTTAAATTGAATGTCTTCAATAATTCTAGTATTAAAACTATCATGAAGAGACTTGCAGGTTAAATCTACATTAAAATTGAGAGAAAAAATATTAAAAATTCATCTCACATCATCTCTCTGAAACTTATTTTTGTTTTTAGTTTTTAAAGTTGTTGATAACCTCTCTTATCACAGTTTTAGGAGAAAAGTCTAACAAGAACTTGGACCAAATGTTAAATGTAATTTTCTAAGAAACTTCACTACATAAAAATTCCACAGACCACACAATTGACAAGTCCTTTAAAAACCACTCTCCTCTTCATCTCTTTACCAAAGTCATGGCTAGTTATGGCACCAACACCACCACACACAGGCCATCACCCACCACCACCACTTCCTCACCTCCCTCCACCACTCCTCCACCCGACGAATCCAAAGCCTCAACCCGAAAAAGCCGCCAAAATTTTACCCTCATATTCAACCTCCCCACCACTCCAGAAGCAGCCGCGGTACGAATTATCAGAAACTTAAACCAATTCAAAGCATACTACACAATGTTCATTTTGGTTGTACTCTCCATTGCCCTTATTCCACAACGTAAAATTTCACTGTTGTTCTTGATGGGCACGTCCACCTTGACTTGCTTGTACTTGTTATTGGTACAGTCATTGCCTGAATCAAAATTGCTTCATGAGATCATCGATAAACGCCTAGTTTTGTTCTTGGTTGTGATTGTCATCATGGTTGAGATGATATTAACGAGCGCGGCGATTCATTTTTTTGTGACGGTGGCTGCGACGACGCCGGTGATTGTGGTTCATGCAGTTTTGTGGGTGAGAGAGTATGTTTTTGTGGGTGATGGGGAGTTGGTTCCGCTTGTGTACACGAAAAATACTAGTGATGTTGAGCCATTGGATTCAGTGTGATTATATATATGCTTCTTTTTCTTTTTTTTTTAATTTATTTAGGCCCATATGTTTCACTTTTTGTTGCAATTGTAATGACAACTTGTTTCAATATTAGGCATATAATGTAAGGCAGTGAGTGGAATTGGAATATGTTGGATTGGAATTCAGATCATCTATATCTATCTCGTTTCATGTATCATTCTCTGTTTTTTTTTGAATTTTATTGGGGGAATAAGAGAGACAGAGGTTATCTCCCCACTTGATAGATGGAATAAAGGTTTTCATTTCTCTTGTAATTGTTGAATGTGTATTTGTGGCAAATTACTACAAAGTGATGAAGAATTTTTTTTACTTGACATTGAAAGTGCCCCCAAAAAAAAAACAAAAACAAAAACAAAAGCAAAAGCAAAACCGTGGGTTTCGTTTTCAGTATTTGTTTTCTGAAAAAAATACTAAAATTGATTTGGTGAAATTAAAAATCAAAAAGATATTTTTAAATTTTCAGAAATTATTTTACACGTATAAAAAAGAAAATAATATGCACTGATGAATGTGTTTAAAATTTTCGTTATTTTTTGCCAAATTAATATTTAGTGAAAACAAACTTTGAAAATGAAATCAGATGGATTCTTTGTATTTGGATTGAACATATCAACTACGGTATTTGGCATAGGGGTTATGTAACACCCTCTGTGGTATGAGATCTCAGTTTCAATAAATTCTTTTTGGTTGTATAGATGTAAAGATCGAGTGGATCTAAAAATTTTAAAAAAAAAAATTGTATTTTTTTTTGTATGCGTATATTTATATATTTGTTAGTATTTAGTAATTTATTTAAAACATATCATAATTTTTATATGTTTTAAATGTATTTAAATTGAGTGGATATAAAACTAAAAAATATTAATTAAAATATTTAAAAATTTATTATAAACAATAACATACGAGTTGAAACTCACAAAAAAATTTGTAAAGACTTTAAAACTAAAAAGGGAAATTCTAACTGTTGCCTTTTTGGCTTTTGAAAGTTATTATTGTAATTTTAAGCGGGTCAGTAAGGATCAATCAATCCTTACAAAAGATTAATTGTCAACCAATTATCAAACGATTGTATTTTAGTTCTTTCAATCTCAATGAACAAGACTTTTACTGGTGGCTTTGTTTAGGAGAATTAAGCAAACAACGATTAAATGAAAAACAATTGTAACATTTCATTAAATAAAAATAAAAGACTTACAATGATCCAATTCAGCCTCGTAGAGGTTTACAGTAATAAACTACTTGAAATTACTTCTATGAACGAAGTGCAGTGCAGGAATTTGAAGTACAGAAATGTAAAAACTAGAAGGAAAATAAATTAGATAAAAACTGGTTTTTTGGATATAAGTCTGGGCTTCTTTCTGGGACTTTTTTTGCTATTTATACCTCTCAATGACAACCGTCGAAATGAGTTTCTAACCGTCGAACCAACCCTCCATGATCACTGATCATGTTTCCTCACAGTTAGTTCCACTATGCCATGTCTGCAGTTAGGCTTCCCTCATGATTTGGAATTTAAACATATGAGTAACTGTTAAAGCCACGTCAGCTTGCATCTCTTTGTTGATCCAGTGCTATGCAGATCCATAATAACCAATACTAACTGCCACGTGTGTGATTGCGATTGAAGATTTGAATTGTCTTCCCGTATTGTCCTCATCCTGCCACTTGTTGAACTGTGATTGGCCTATACAAAATATGTAGCCAACATTATCCCCCGCACTAATATACTCAATACTTGGAGACATTAGTGGATCAAGATATTTTATCCATGTCTTAGAATGTGCATGGGCTTTGCATTTTTTTCAGAAATGCAACCGTCATTCATCAATGAAACATTTGCATTAAATTCTTTTTTATCCTTTGAACATTCCCACTATCTTAGTATTCGAAAAGACTGGTACAACTCTCATGGCCAAGCAAACTTTTTCTTACCTCAATCAAGCATATGAAGAGTTGTTTGATAATGTTGTTCGTCCTTGAAAGAACCTTCATGCATTGATTAGCCACCTTTACCCACTTTTCTATATTCAAGTCATGGAAGTTTTTGCAAACTATCAACCTTTGGATTACGAACCTATTGTCCACAATTCTTTAACCCAAAATTTTGCAAACATGGATATTAGAAGCTCTTCTTTTGACCCAAAACCTTCTGCGTGGGATAAGGCTGCAACTTCTTCTTCTTTTGGGGCTTCTGGTTGGAGAAGCTGGCCAGAACTTGAGGAGTCCAAGTTAAGAAAGCGAATCAACCATCATTTTGTCAAATTTGTTGATCCTCTAACTTTCCCTCCCTTTGCTTGGAGTTCGGTGGTTTACCCATATGTACCCATCGACCACCGACGTCCTTTGGAAGACAACTTACTTGTAGCATGGTACACGTCTTCCATGCCTACGAAGATAGTACAAGCTACTCGTCATCTAGAAGAGGCTCAAGGGTATAGCTCGTTATTCTTAGCCCAGAAAGCAAAACTTTGCTCTTCTGACTAGCTTGATATTGTCAACAACCCCCAATTTCCTCATTCTTTAGAGATAGAATCTTCTGCACCTCATCTTCCACAAAATCCTCACTGGATGAAGGAACTGAGACTTACTCTTTTTGAGGGCCACTTTCTCTCCTCCTATAATCCTCCATCTCTCCCTACTAAATATCAGCGACAACGAGCCCAACTTCAGCTTATGGCATTTTCTCACTTGCCCTTCAATGTTCTCGAGGACGACGTTCCTCTTAAGAATTTTTGATGGGCTTGTGATGTTATGACCCGGGGTCATGTCCTCAACCCTATCGCCCAAGCAGAGCTCCAGATGTTTTTAGACCAACTCCCACTACTTCTTCATTAGCATCACATTTCTGTGGCCACCACTCGATCCTTGGATCAAATCTCAGCCCGTTGAATTCATACCCGGTATGAAGCAGAGAACCTCATTGACGAATATGATGATTTCAAGAATAAAGACTCTGCATATTGGGATGACTTGGACATGGATGAGATAAACCAAGGGTTGAAAGAAACAGAGTTTGAAATAAAGGCCGAAAAACTTTTTTATCAAGTAAGAGCATATCAACTTCAGCAGCCAAGCCTGGAGAAGATAGAAGATAGAATAAAGAAGGAATAGAAGTTCATTGACCATAGTTGGAACAAGTTTCATGACCTTGTCATTTATTCTATTCCTTATTTTTATGAACTTGAATATGTAGCCAAATAAGGCTTTTGATGTAATTGCTTTTGTCTTAATAAAGCTAAGATGTTTTTTCCTTTATTTGGCATGGTCTAATTTTACCCCATTTGTCAAGAACAAACAAACTTAGGGTTTTGAATTCAACAAGTTCATCCTTTGAATCTCGATTTGATTATATCCAATGAAATACTGGAAACCCAATTTGAACTTTTCCAACTTATGGAGTGTAATTGACAACTTTTGCTGGTTTCCTTTCAGAACCAGAGCTTCAAATTCACCAATTTTTCCCTTCGAAACTTGATTTGATCATATCCAATTCCCCAACATATGGTTAATACAATCAAGTAATTTCAAATCAACTAATTTTGCTTCGAACAAAAAGTCTATATTTTTCAAAATATGGAAGCTTTTTTCAAGGACTGCACTGTTTTATTTTAAAAAGTGATTGTATGCTACTAAACTAACTATTGGTTTAAAACCTAGAACAAACAAATTCTAACCGTAAGGTATTTCAAATTTTGCTTCGAATGATTTTACTCTCATCAAGAAACCTAAAAACAGGTCTTTAATCCTTCTGAAGTAAACAAACACCTGACAATTCCTGCACCCTTAGGTGTGGAATGTGCGTCGAAGTCGACTTCCTTCTTTCGAAGCCGTTTGTCACTTGATTTTTGGCACCAAAACTTGGCTTCGAAGCCAAATATTTTATTTTGAAGCTAACATTAGTATTTGAGATACGTTTCCCTCCATAACTATCAACATTGAGGGAAACTTTTCGCACCCGTACCTTTAGTGCTTCTTTATGAATTTCGCCCATATAAAACGACTATGTGCTTTTCAGACAGAAAGGTTTAAAAACCCTTTTATTTTGTGCTCCTAATCCACTTGGTCGCTTAACACACAAACCCTCCATCTTCTGCTGGCTTTCTCTTTCCTTTTACTCTCTTTTCCAACTTCGTCTTCTGAGAAAACTCTCTATCAATGGCTTTTTCTTCCTAGAAAATACCGGTTGTGGAGCGTGCGAGTCCATCTGTAGCCTTGAAAATGATCATTGATGAAGAGTGTGAGAAGTACAAGGCTGGTGAGAAAAGTGCCATTGACGGGCGCATCTTCATTCCCCGTCGCCATGAGCAACAAAAATATGTGCTTGGGCCCATTTTTAAGGAGATTCCCACTAAGCTTCCAGCTCTGTATCCACGTCTAGAAGATCATTGTCTCCTTTACGAAGGTGGTCTTGATTGGGGAAGCTGGAGGATGAACCGACCCCATCGCTACTGGCCCATAGTGAGACCAGAGTAGGAGAAATAGTATGATCGGGTTATCTCTGATGGGACACTGGATCTTCAGGAACTCTGCCTCTTCGACGCCCTCTAATTATCCAGGTTTACCATTTTAGAGGACCCTTTTTTAATACCGGCTGCCCTTTGTTTTTGGAATTCTACTTTTAATTTCTTTCAATTTAGGTGTAGGATGATGGCTCCTACTGTCCTTAACATCTGCCATCTGTTAGGATTATCCCCTACTGATACCCCCATTGGTCCAGACTTTCCTGACCTCAAAACCCCTTTTTCCTTCCCCTCTCTGAACTCATCCTATAGTGACTTTGTCAAGGTTGAGAATAAAAGAGAGGGCCCTATGACTGATAGGGAATTTTTCTCTTTTATATTATATTGGCTTTGCTAGTTCCTCTTCTGCACCTCTTTTCAGAGGATCACGCCTGAATTTGCCTCT